CTCTGCTCTGCTCTCCCGCGGCTCGCGGCTCCCGCGCGGAGGGGGGACCCAGCTACCCTGACGTAAGGAGTCCGGGGCTGAGCGGCGGCGGAGGCGGCGAGGCCGCGCGCGCTGCCATCACTCGGGAGACGGCGCCCTCATGTCATCAGCCTCCCGTCCTCCTATCGGGGCGCCGTCCTCCGCAGAGGCGGCAAAAGCCTGTGCCTCCTGGTGGCGCCGCGGAGCCACAAGTGGGCGCAGCCCCCCAGCCAGGGCGCCACGGACACACCCCTGCTGGCCACACGCGCCTCCCACCCACGAATCCAACGCGCAAAACACCCTCGCGTGCAGTCGCAGGGCGCACACAGGCACCCGCAACGGGTCCCGAACGAACGCGCAGAGAATCCGGTACCGGATGGTCCTTTCGCGGTCCCCTAAGCCATCCTCCTGTCTAAACAGAACCAGCCTCACCCCTGTTAAGTCCGGTACAGGCTGGAGCCTCGGGCTCCACAGGGTACAACCTTCTGACCATCTCCCGAGTTTCTTCAGAACTAATCACAGCTCAGGCCTGGACGCGCTCTCGTAGACTGCAGGCTGCAAATTGCTAACAGATGTCAGCAGAACACTCCTTCCACCAAGTCTTGGTAGGACTCCTCGAAAAAGCCCCCAGCCCTCCCTCCCAGCACAGGGATCAAGCTCAGTCGGACCTTTTTCTGCCCCCAGAAAATAGCTGGGGAGAGGGGAACGGTGAACAAATGCTAACACTGTATTCAACACACACTATGACTGGGCGCCCCATAGCCCCCGCCTGTAATCCTAGTTACGCAGGTGGCTGAGATCTGAGAACCATGGTTCGAAGCCAGCCCAGGCAGCAGAGTCTGTGAGACTCTTATCTCCAATTAACCACCAAAAAGCCAGAAGTGAAGCTGTGACTCCACTGATAGAGCACTAATCTTGTGCATAAATAAATTTTAAAAAATAGCTGGGTTTGTCCTCTGTATAAAATTCATTTGAACTGAGGGTGAGGGAAGGGATGACAGTGTCCGAAAAGAAATATACTCATTACCTGATGTATGAAACTGTAACCCTCTGTACATCACTTTTATATTTAAAAATGAAACTGATTTGGAAACACAAGTGTTTGACACCAACATTTGGGGTGATCTGGGGCACTCAGCTTCCCCTGGGAGCTGCCAGACAGATGCATGGTCACTCCCTGGGGGTCACCCTAGTTCCTTTCAACTTCAGCAGGCTTAGTCATGGAAAGCAAAACAAAGCAAGACAAAAATACTCCATTCGGATCCCAAGTCTTAAATAAATTGTAGCTCCAGATTAAAGCTGAATTGTCTATTGCTAATGCTGCAGACAAAGATAGAAGAAAGGAGAAGCCCCTGTGTTGGGAAGACCTCCAAGTCAGAAATGGCCCTTCCCATGTAGGAGGCTCAGTGTTCTTGCCCTAGAATTGGGGGAGAAAAAGTGTGTTGGGGAGAGCAGGGAGAAATGAAAAACCCAGCTCTGGCTCTGCCTCTCCAAAAACCCAGGTAGCTTTCTTGAGACCTTCATTTGTCAGGCTTTATGCTCTTTGTCACTCTGATCATTTCTGTACCCCATTCATGGTTACCCCAAACTCTTCCTTCACTTAGTGGGCCCTCCTTATTATCCCTAGGGAGGAGAAACACAGCTTCACCTGAAGCCAGTTTTACCCAGGAGCCAAGACAAAAAAAAAAAAAACCCTCATGTTTCTTGGCAACTTACCATATAGCAGGCTCTACTCATGCACTCTTTTGTTCTTTCTGAAAATTGTGAATTAATTGATGATTATTCTCCCAACCTATCAATGTTGAAAAACAAATCTTTGACAGTTTGACGTGTTTGCCCAGTGTCATCCACCCATGGGACAAAAGTGGAATCTTCCTCCCTTCAGACCTAGGACTCCTGTGGCTCCTGGACACAGATTTCACTAGTTTGCTTCCTCCCTTCCCTGCCTCGGGCCATCTCTACAACAGGCAACTCCAGGAACCCTACTCTCTGCTTCCAATCCTAGCTCTGTAACTTCCTGTGAGCCTTTGAGCAAATTGCTTCACCTCTCTGAGCCTCAGGCTCCATGTGTATAGAATGAGAATGAGAAAAATACCTTCCTCAAAATTAGTATCAGATTAAATGAGCCTTAGAACAATGACTGACTTGGTTAAGTTAGCTATTATTATTAACTACTGATGCTTTGTACCTCCACCATGTTGTTTAATGATGTAACATGAAACAAGCAGGCAGTAAGTAGGATGCTCATGGGGGTTTAAGATTAAAAAGCCACAAGCTGGACACAGTGGCTTATGCATGGCATCCTTAATACTCAGAAGGCTAAAATACAGAGGATGGTGGTTTGAGGCCAATCCAGGCAAACAGTTCAAGAGATTCTATCTCACAGAAAAGGCAGGCTGCCCTCACTCCTGCAGACCATCATTTTGCCCTTGTGGGAGCTGGGATTTAAAAAACAAACAAAGAAGGGCAGATGCTAGAAGCCTCCCTGGCAAAGCAGCCATTCCAGGCCTCAGTACTTCCCCTGGAGCCCCTTTGGCTTTCAGGGAAAACTACTTCCTTCAAGGCCAGCCACCCACCAGGTGGCAGGTCTGGCAGATGAGCAGGCTGGGCAGGTGTGCACCACCCAGCAAGCTAGGAATCGGAGGCCCTACCCCACCCCTCTCAACCTTGAGGGAGTGGCCCTGGAGTATGTGACACCCTCCTCATCCCCCCTGGCTTCTGCTTCTCCTGAATGGTCTGTCATTGGTGACCATCTTCTCATCAATATTAATTACAAACCTCATCAGCATATCATCTTCCATTTAGCCCATATTCTTGTATTTCAAGGCTCACTCGAGACTCACATCTGTTCTATATTGCCTTGATTACCAGGCAGCGTTCTTTCTATCAATGGTCCTTAATAGCCTACTATGTCAGCCAATCATTTTTGCCCTCTCCTTCTTATGAATCCTATGGTTTCAGATGACCCCTGCCAGCAACAAGCCCCCTCTTATTCTCACGCACATCAGTACCTTTAATCTGGATACCTGTCTCCCCATTCCAGATATCCTTCAAGTCTTCCCCAGTGTTACCTCCTTGTCTGAAGCCCTCCCTGATTTCTCCCTCAGTGGAGTTGACCAAATCTACCCACATGCCCCCTTAGAGCTCTCAAAATGTACCCCTGTCATCAGATATCAGACAACACAACAACTGTTTACTTTTTTGCCTCCCCACTAGGCTCTGAACACCAATAGGGCAGGAATCAAATCATTCATTCATGCATGCATTGTGTCATTAAGTTTTTTCATTTGTAACTGGCCCTACTGTATGTCAGACATTGAACTAGCCACAATGTGCATAGTAGAATCATAGTCCCTTCCATCCCAGCTGTTCTACAAGAGTCCCTGGACGCCCCCAACCCCTTCACCACCACCTCTTTCTACCTGTCTTACTTAGGTTTGCATCTACAAAGCTACTATTGGGTATTACTGTTCCTTGACCTGTTCTCCTCAATTTAGATATGTGCCCTAGCTAGGCTTTTCAGACATATTATCTTGAATACCATAGTTAGTCTCCTGCCTCTGTTCCCAAGGGGAAGGGCAGCATGTGGTGTGGGCAGGGAGGAGGCACAAGCCAGCTCACATAAGGATGTCACCTTCTGTGGTTTGGATTGGTGTCTCCTGAAGGCCTATGTGTTTGATTGGTTTGGCACCTAGCCCTTGGGACTATGGGAAACAGTGGAAACTTTTAAAAGTATACACTACTGAGAGGTTTTTAGGTTATTGGGGATGCGTCCTTGAATGGGATTTTTGGGTTCTGAGTCTCTTCTTTTTTCTTTTTTGCATCCTAGCCAGGAGGTGAGCAGATTTGTCAAGTGCCCCACCAAGATGTACTGCCTCCTCACAGGCCCCGAAGCAATAGTTCAACTGATAATGAACCCAAACCTCCAAAACTGTGAGCCAGAATACTTTCTCTGTCTCTGTCTCTGTCTCTTTCTGTCTGTCTCTTTCTGTCTATCTGTCTCTTTCTGTCTGTCTGTCTCTCTCTCTCTCTGTCTCTGTCTGCCTGCCTGTCTGTCTGCCTGCCTGCCTGTCTGTCTGTCTGTCTGTCTCTCTCTCTCTCTCTCTCTCTCTCTCTCTCTCTCTCTCTCTCTCTCCATCTTTCTTTGGCATTACTGGAGTCTGAACTTAGGGATCCATATACTTTCTAGGCAAACACTTTACCTGAACCACTCCCAAGCTCTTTTTATTTTAGTTATTTTGGGGATAGAACTTGTGGTTTTTCTGGCCTGGATCTGGATCCTCCTACTTATGCTTTCTACACAGCTGGGATCACCGGTGCACACTACCACACCCTGAATTTATAGGTTGAGATAAAATCAAGAGCTTTTTCCCTGGACTGGCCTCAAGCCACAATCTTATCTCCACCTTTTGAGTAGCTTGGATTACAGATGTGAGCTTCCATGCCCAGAAACCTTTTCTCTTTATCAGTTTGTTTGTCCTAGGTATTTATTCAAGTAAAGGAAATCTGACCAACTCAGAATCCATGTTAAGAGGTGTGGGTTTTTTTAACCTTTGGTCCAATAGAGAAGAAGTGTGAATATTGGAGTAAATTGAGGCATTTTGCAAAGATAACTCTAGCTCCTGGGTAGTGAATAGATGTATGAAAGGGACCAGAAATG